CGGTCATGGGCCTGAACTCTGGGCCTGGGCGCTGTCCCTCAGCTCTTCAGCTCAAGGTTAGCACTCTACCCCTTGAGCCACAGCATCACCTCTGGCCTTTTCTGCTTATGTGGTGCTGAGGAATCGAACCCAGGGCCTCATGCATGCAAGGCAAGCACTCTACCACTAAGCCACCTTCTCAGCCCCACCCCCCCTCCTCTCCTTTCTTTCTTTACTTTTCTATTAAAGGCTGTCACTCCACCACTTCCAGCTTTTTGTTGGTTGTTTGGAGATAAGAGTCTCTCCAGATTTGTCTGCCTGGGCTGGCTTTGAGCCGAGATCCTCAGATCTTAGTCTTTTGAGTAGCTAGGATTACAGGCATGAGCCCTGGGCATCTAGCTCTCCTTCAAATTCTCTCATGCTCACTTCTGTCTGACCCATGTTAGCAGCTACGTCCCAGGAGACTGCATCTCAGCAAGTCTCCCTAATCTGAATGACATCATAAACTGCTCTCTGCAGGCATTAGGGTAGAGCTCCCATGATCTAGCAGCTTTATTAGAAGGAGAGGACAGTCACTGGTGGTTCAGGCCTATAAGCCTACTACTCAAGAGGCTCAAATCTGGAGGATTGTGGTTTGAGCCTGAATAAAAAAGTTCACTAGACTCCATCTCCAAAGTATTCAACAAAAAGTAGGGATGAAGCATGGCTCAAGTGGTAAAATGCCAGCAAGCTGAGTGAATATGAGGTCTTGAATTCAAAACCCAGTAGTGGTGAGAGAGGGAGGGGGAGGAAGAGAAGGAGGGAGGGAGGTAGAGGTGGAAGGGGGAGGAAGAGGGTGAGGGAGAGGGAAAGGGAGGGGGAGAGGGAGAAGGACAGCAGACACAGATATGTACAACAGATGTACTCCCTATTTCTGGCTATATTATGACCTGTACCACCTGTGAACTTTGCCAGCAAAAAGGCTATCACTAAATGTAGTCCCTCCCAAACCATGAACTAAGGTAATCCTCTTTGTTTGGCTGGGGGAAGAGTCCTAGGGCTTAACTCAGGGCCTGGGCACTGTCCTTAAACTTTTTTTTTTTTTCCTTCTCAAGACTAGTACTCTGCCACTGGAGCCACAGCTCTACTTCTGGCTTTTTGGTGCTTAATTAAAGATAAGAGTTACAGACTGGAGCTGGGTGCTGGTGGCTCACACCTGCAATCCTAGCTACTCAGAAGGTGAGATCTGAGGATCACAGTTCAAAGCTAGCCCAGTCAGGAAAGTCCGTGAGACTCCAATAAACCACCAGGAAACTGGAAGTAATGCTGTGGCTCGTGGTAGAGTGCTAGCCTTGAGCTGAAGAGCTGAGGGACAGTGCTCAGGCCCAGAGTTCAAGCCCCATGACAGACCAAAAAAGAAAAAACAAAAAGCTACAGACTTCCTCGCCTGGGCTGGCTTCCAACCATGATCTTCAGATCTCAGCCTCCTAAGTGGATAGGATTATGGGCAGGAGCCACTGGCACAGAGATTTTTTTCTTAATAAAGCAGCTTGTCTGAAGTATTGTGTTATAGTAATGAAAAATTGATTTAAAAATCGATATAGATGTTTTCACACAAAACTCAATTACATACAAAATGCTTTTTATTTTTTTTTGGGTCCAGTCATGGGGCCTGAACTCTGGGCCTGGGCACTGTCCCTCAGCTCTTCAGTTCAAGGCTAACGCTCTACCACTTGAGCCATAGCGCCATTTCCGGCTTTTTTCTTTTTGCTTATGTGGTGCTGAGGAATTGAACCCAGGGCCTCAGGCATGCAAGGCAAGCGCTCTACCATTGAGCTACCTTCCCAGCCCCCAAAATGCATTTTTTGAAACATGTCTTCCATATCCAGAGATGTGTGACTTGTACACCTCTGAACCTCTGTCACCTTATTTTTCATTTTACCTGTGTGAGAACTAAGAATCGGCCTCGAGAAAGGTAACCCCCTAAGATCCCAGGGCAAGTTTTAAAAGGACACTCATTGCAGCAATATGCATAATTGTGATGAATGAGAGAGAAAAATCCTAAAAACTATCAAGAGAGGGATAAACAATGACAGGAGGGTGTCCAGTGGAATAGGACACAATTTTGAAATTAAAATCAAAGCCCTAGCTTGGGGTAGTAGCTCAGTAGTAGAATACCTATCTAACATATTGCCAGGCCCTAAGTTTGATCCCCAACACTGCAAAAATAAATTAAAAAAAATAAAAATTTAAATTTAAAAATCAATAAGATCTGAGAGGGTGCTGGTGGTTCATGGCTGTAATCCTTGCTACTCAGGAGGCTAAATCTGAGGATGGCAATTGAAAGCCATCACAGCAAAAAAGTTCGTGAGACTCTTATTGCTAATTAACCACCAGAAAACCAGAATTGGTTCTGTGACTTAAAGTGCTAGAGTGCTAGCCTTGAGCTGAAAAAGCTCAGGGACAGTGCTCAGGTCCAGAGTGCAAGCCCTGTGACACACACACACACACACACACACACACACACCCCTCTTATTTTCTGCAGAGTGCAGGAGAGCTCCAACTGAGCACTGAAGCCCACCTCCCAGTCTTCTGTCACTGGGAAATCCCAGTCTAGGGATGGAAGGGGTTCACACAGTGACTATATGGCTAGGGCCAAGCTATGTCCGAGTTTGAGGACAACCATCCCCCCCACTTCCCGCCTTCTCCCAGCCCAGCAGCCTTCACCTCATCATGTGGATAGCCTCAGGGTCACTGGCAAAGCTGAAGGCATAGCCACTGGATGTGGTACCGAAGTCAATAGCCACCACCACGGAGAAGGAGGCCTGCTGGGGGGCTCGAGTCTCTGGCTTCTGTAAGTCCAAGACCTAGAGTTAGCAAGCAGCCAAGCAGGGACCAGCCAACTGCCAGCAGGGAACACCTCCAGGGCTGGCTGTGGTCCTGAAAAGTTCCTCCCTACCTCACCCTCTCTGCTCCTTTCCTAGATTCCCCTCTGCTCCCAAGCTCCAGGCTGAGTTCTGGACATGTCAGCTGCTCTGAAAGCCCACGGCCCTTCTGGTAGTCACTTGCACATTTGCACTCAAGTGCCTGCTTTCCTGCTTCCAATTCTCTACTCACCTTGTGCCTGGCTTTTCAAAGCCCACCCCCATCTCACACCATCTTCAGAGCCTGCCACCAGCCTAGGCCCAGCTGGGAGCAATTTCATTTCTCTGGGCAGCTTTATAGCATATGGACCTATGTATATTTCATCCTCTTTCTTGGGTGGCTACAGTGACACAAACCAGACTCTTGTCTGGTTTTGTAGCACACACAGAGAGAGGCCTCGGCACATGTGGACTGGCCCTGGTTTTTCTCAGGCTCCCTGAGAACAATGGGGTCCCCAAGCTGGATCCCCAGGGCAAGACCCTCCAGGGCATTTTGGTGTCACCCAGGAGTATGGGGGGCTGGGGAGGCCATGTCCTGGAGACTTCAAGAGAGTAGTTTCCAAACTTTTTTTTTTTTGGTCATGGGGCTTGAACTCAGGGCCTGGGTGCTGTCCTGAGCTCTTTTACTCAAGGCAAGCACTCTACCACTTTGAGCCACAGCACCAATTGGTGGCTACTGGAGAAAAGAGTCTCGCCATCTTTCCTGCCCCACCTGGCTTTGAACCTTAATCCTCAGATCTCAGCCTCCAGAGTAGCAGGATTATAGGCAAGAGCTACCAATTCCAGCCTCCAGAATCTTTTAGCCACATACCTCTTCTGCCCCAGATATGGGTTGGTTTAAGGTGGGGCTGTGCTTGGCAGGTGGGGAGTAACCCTGGCCCCACTTCTCTCAGCACCTAGAAAACCCACGTCTGCTTGCCACCAGCCCCCGTGGCCCTCAGGTGACATCCGAGTCTAGTGCCACAGTCAGTATGTGACTAAAGCTAAAGTCTCATTTCCCCCTCTCCCCCCCCCCCGTTCCTCCCCTCCAGCTATTTCCTGCCATGGTTTAGCCAGGCACAACCCTCCTTCATGCTACCTAGGCCCGCCACTGTCCCCTAGGCTTACTGGAGACTGCGAGGGTGTGAGAGGGGCAATGCCACAGCTTTCCTGGGTCCTTGGTGAGCCGGGTGGGCTGGGCACTGGGGACCTTTCTGGGCTGGAACCTGCGGAGGAGAGAGGGCAAGTCACCCTGGAACAATCAGGGCAGTTGGGTCTGGCACTGGGAGGTGCTCTGTCAGCCCTTGCTAGACAGAGGTAAGGGCCCCCTCCCCAGGTTGCAAGAAGATGTATGAGGCAGGGGCAGAGGCTAGGGTCCTAAGGTCTTATTAGTTTGAGGGAACCTCCCCTACATATCATTGGGGCTCAGTGCTGGCCCCAGAACCTCTCAGACACAGCAGACAGGCATTGTGTGTGGGGAGACTGAGCCCAGAGTTGGGAGGGATGGGACAAGTGAGCTCCTGGGGACAGGAGCCAGAAGAGGCGGGAGCTTCAGACATATAATGGCTGGGAGGTAGGGCAGCCAGCCCAGAGGTGGGGCTGTGCCTTTCTGTTAAAGTTGGGCCACATGGTTCTAATCAAGACTTAAGGCAACTCCCCCTTCCCCCTTTCCCTCCCCTTCACGAGCCACAGACAGACCCAGCTGGCTGCCTGGGGACCACAGGAGAGAGAGAGAGCGGCACCTCCCCCAATCCAGCCTGAGCCTAGGGATATATGTAATGCTAGGAAGTCTGGTTACACACACACACACACACACACACACACACACACACACACGGTGAGAGACGGCACAGAAGCTATTAGGAGGCAGCTCAAGGCCTGGCTTAATGGATCAGATAGCTCCCAGAGTGGAGGGCTTGACTAGCTGGACACCCAAGATGATCTTTGCCAAGGATCATGGGGGTAAGGGGTTCTGGGGCTGTCCTGAGACAGGCATGAAGACCTCTGGATAAATCAGCATATCTGTCAGGCTGTACACTGCACAGGGCAGAGGATCCTGCTTCTTCACCCACAGTCTGGCCAAGGGACTCTAGACAGGGCTATGTGCGTTGACCTTGGGCTAACCCAGGCAAATATATAAGGGGTTGGGGGTGAAAGAGATCCTAGGAAGTGGCTGTAGTCTGGATGCCAGCGGGGCAGGGACATGAGAGTCACACTCTGAGGGTTCCCCTTCTAGCACAGACTTGGTCTTGCCACCAGCTCCAGCTTGAGAGGCCAAATTGCTGTGGCCAGAGCCTGGGAAGGGAGGCAGGAAGGAAGGGCCAGCCCTCCAGGTCTTTGTGAATGGACTTCCTGAGGAGTGTCCTCCTGCCTGCCCTGCCTCCCACCCCCGCAGAGCCAGAGCCTGCTCTGGGACCAGGCCAAATGCACAGGGCTCAGGGCAAACATGCCCACCTGCAGATGCTTCCCCCAAGGTCCTGGGCACACAACTGTACAAAATATAGGCAAAAGCATACAATCATATGCACACAGACCCTCCCTACATATACAGGTGCGCACACACACACACACACACACAGATAAACACTGAAGGTTCTTGGGAACAAATCTATTCAATGCACATAATGTCCCCTCCCCCCATTCTCATATATGCATAGAGTTTCTGTGAGCAGGTCTGCCCTAGTCTCATATTCATGTTTACATACACAGACTTATGTACAGAATTCTCCCTGAAATGAACACATCACACACATGCACATACACATACACAACACATTCACAGCTTCCAGAAGCCTCTGCTGGAGAGGTCTATGTAGGTAGCAGCCAGTGAATATCTATAGCCCAGTGAGGGAGGTGTGGTCAGGACTGAGCTGGGATGGGGGTCTTACCGATGTACAGCCCCTGCATGCCCACCTCTGGGACAGCCAGCATTCTTGCAGGCTCTGGAGCTGTCAACAGGAACACACAAACAGAATGAGGTTGAATTGTTCCTCTGCCCTGTATGTTTATTTATGCTACTTGTTTATTTTTGTCTGGAGTCTTTGAAGCTAACCCGGACATCATGATGTTTCACCTATCAACTCCTCAGTATATTTCTCTTAACGGACAAAGATTATGGGGAAAACACCACCACAACCCCATTATCATAGCGAATCAAATTTCCAGCAAGTCCTTCATTCCCTTTTAAACCTTTGTTCTACTGACCCGGCTTAGCTCAAAAAATTACAATGAACCCCAAGATAAGTATTCAAATGTTTTGTTTTGTTTTTTTTCCTTTCATGCAATTGTTTCTAACATATTTATAAGATGATTTCTTTGTTGCTTTGTATGTCCCTCCCCCACGGTATAACCCATGCTTTCACTGTATTTGATGTTGGTATAATTTGTGGAAGGGAAGGCAAAAAACAAATCGTTTAACTAGGGATACAGGTGGACCCATTGCAACAATGAGATGTACAGTGGTTATGTCAAAAAATGAACTTTACAACTTAGGTGGGGGGTAGGGGGTAGGATGGGGAGGGGGGAGGGGGGAGAATGGGAAGAGATGGGAAGGGGAAACAAAGAGGAGGCAAAAATGCTTGATAAGAAATGTACTCGTTATCTTGCCCATGTAATTGTAACTCCTCTGTACTGTATTCTTGTACTGTATTCTCACAATAAAAAAGAAAAGAAAACAAAACAAAACAAAAAAAAAGACTTTGCTAAGTCGGGCGCCGGTGGCTCACGCCTGTAATCCTAGCTACTCAGGAGGCTGAGATCCGAGGATCACAGTTCAAAGCCAGCCCAGGCAGGAAAGTCCGTGAAACTTATCTCCAATAAACCACCAGAAAACCAGAAGTGGCACTGTAGCTAAGTGGTACAGCACTAGCCTTAAGCTGAAGAGCTGAAGGACAACATTCAGGCCCAGAGTTCAAGTCCCACGACCGACAAAAAAAAAAAAAAGACTTTGCTTTGTAGGAATCAGATCTTCTTCAATGTGTTCTAATTGCGGAAACAAAATCATACCCAGATAATCATGTAAGTGATTTTGAGATGACAAATAATGTGTGGGAATATGGTAGCAGTGTGGGATGGAGAGAGGCAGGACCTTGTAGACCCTTTTTTATACTTGATTTTATATAAAGTATAAGAGCAAGTTTTGGGGGGAGAACAGTACTAGGGTTTGAACTCTGAGCTTCACATTTGCTAGGCAAGTGCTCTACCACTTGAACCATGTCCTTAGAATGCAACTGCAAATCTGGATGGATTTGAAGTGGCAGAGCAGGGGTGGCACCTGACCCAGTTTGCACTTGGGGATGACCACAAACTTGGGCTGCGTATGAGGATAGACTGCTGGGAGGCAATATGGAAGCGGAAGTCCACATAGACTGCTATGGCTTTCCAGGCTCCAGGATGGTGGCTGCTGTGTACCTTGAGACAGAACTGGAGACATTTAGGAGGCAGTAGCTAAAATCAACACAGCCAATTAGATTGGTCATGGGGGATTAGGAAGAGGATGTTATGGTGACATTGTCTGGCTCTGCTGGGAGATGGATAGAGCTGGAGAACACTGGAAAAGGGACAGACTAGTAATGGGAAAGCACATAGTCTGGGGTGCAGTTTAGAATTAAGAGAACATAGTTGGGCTCTGGTGGCTACTAGTTACTCAGGAGGCTGAGATCTGAAGCTCCAAGTTCAAAACCAGCCCAAGCAGAAAAGTCTAGTAGTCTTATTTCCAATTAACTACCAAAAAGACAGATGTCGAGTTGTGGCTCAAGTGGTAGAGTACTAGCCTTGAAGGAAAAAGCTAAAGGACAACACCTATGTCCTAGTTTAAGCCCCAGTGCCTGTGTGTGCACACACATGCATGCGCAAGCACACTCACTCACACACACACACACACACACACACACTAAGAGAACATACATATCATGCAGTCAGATGATATGTGATCTGGAGGTCAGGAAGAAATCTGAGTTGGAGATGTGCATTTGAGTCATTGTCACGGCCAATGGCAGTGTACATGTAGAGGGGAAGGAGAGGAGAGAGGAGAAGCCACTGAATAGAGGAAGGTGAGCTGGTCTAGGGACTGAGAAGCCTCCTATAGTTTCATAAAGAGCACTCACTATAAGAGAAGTGAGTGAAGCTAGATGCATTTAAGAGGTCTTTGGATGGGAATGCAAACACAGGCAGGTAAGCCAGGTGAGGTGTGAGGGAGAGGTGAAAGAACTGAGAATTGGGAATAGATACAAGGGCAGTGGCTGGAAGCAGGCAAAGAAGGACATTCATTTTGTTTTGTATGACAGGAGGAACTCAAGCTTGTGTTTGTCAAGTTCTAGGCACCAGGCTCTAGGTAGACTCTGACAAATCCTTACCCGCTTTGTTACTGAAACTGTAACCTCAGGCTTGGCAGCACTGGCATCACCCTGCATCACCCAGAAGCTTGTTAGAAATGCACAGCCTCAGGCCTTGTCTCTGACCTGCTGAATCACAGCTTATGTTTTACGGACATCCCCAGGTAACTGGATGCATGTTTTAAAGTGTGAAAAGGGGGCTGGGAAGGTGGCTCAGTGGTAGAGCGCTTGCCTTGCATACCTGAGGCCCTGGGTTCGATTCCTCAGCACCACATAAGCAAAAAGAAAAAAGC